TGTGTAAATAATAATATAGCAGTTATAATAAAAAGAGCGCCACACGTGCCCCATGATGATATCATCTGGGATAGTTATAAAAAAAAAAAAATAAAAAAAATAAATAAATAAATTACATAGAAAAGAGAAAGAATGAAATATATATGTATATATAATATTATTAATAAAGAAAAGAAGTAATGTTACAGAGTAAAGTGATATTTCTGAAAATAAATAATTACTATACTAAAGATTTCGTAAATCCATAACTGGGACTCTATAATCAAGGCTGTGTACCATATGTTATGACTCATAGTGTGATAATAAATAACTGATACAATACGAAAAATGAGTCATAATATGGATAATGTGTTAAAAAGACAAGTAAAAGGCTCAGGTAAAAGAGAAAAAATTAAAGTGAATTTGTATAAGACAAGCGAAAGGCTCAGGTAAAAGGGAAAAAATTAAAGTGAATTTGCATCATGAGTCATAACAATAGCAGTTAATTTTTAAGAAGCCTTTTTTTTAATTTCATTCTAGTCATAAAAGAGCCATTTCTCTTAATCTAAAAAACCCTTTTCTTAATTTCACTTTGGCTGTAAAAAAGTTATTTTTCTCAATCTAAAAAGCCCCTTTATTAATTTCACTTTGGCCATAAAAAGAGTAATTTGTCTTAATTTAAAAAGTTCTTTTCTTAATTTTGATTTGATCATAAAAAGAGTTATTTTCTTAATTTTGTTTTGGTCATAAAAGAATCATTCTTCTAAACTAAAAAGCCCTATTTTTAATTTTGCTTTGACCATAAAAGAGTTATTTCTCTTAATCTAAAAAACTCTTTTCTTAATTTCACTTTGGCTGTAAAAGAGTCATTTTCCTTAATCTAAAAAGTCTCTTTATTAATTTCACTTTGGCCATAAAAGGAGTAATTTGCCTTAATTTAAAAAGCTCTTTTCTTAATTTCAATTTGATAATAAAAGAGTCATTTTCTTTTCTTAATTTTGCTTTAGCCATTCCTTAATTTCACTTTGACCATAAAAGAATCATTTTTCTTAATCTAAAAAGCCCCTTGATGTTGTTAAGTATAAAAGTGCTGTAATTTTACTTTTGTAAAAGAATAAGATCATACGGGTTAATAATTAATAAAGTTAGTAAAACAATTATCTTAAAATAAAACTCTTAAGGTTTGCTAAATCATCTTAGTTGCATTCTGGCAAATTGCTTAGTATCTTCTTTGCTTTATATTCATATACTATAAGTCACTCTGTAACAGTTAAATTAAGATTGATTCTTTTTTTATTTTTTTACTTATTTTTATTGTATATTTAAATTAAACTATTACACTAAGAGAAATGAATTCTGGTACATATATTTAAGAAATTACAGTCTCATCTACAGTACTCATATTTTAATTAAACTTATTAGAATGTGAAATTTCATCTATTATGATTAGAAACGCAAAGTATTAACTCTGTTATTAGTGAAAATATTCATACTGCCATTAGTAAAAATGTACCTATTATTAGCAAAAATGAGAATGAAGGTCCCGTTTATAAAACTTTTGAAACTACTACAGCCAATGAAGGCACTGAAACAACTGCTAATAAAGTTTTGAAGTAGTTTCTATTAATAAAAAACATAAAAGAGGCAAGTTAGAATCATGGGTATTTAAAGATGGTTATTTTATTAAATACAATCTTCAGAAAAGTATAAATTTTGCTTTATGTATGCTAAATTATTGTTGTTAATTATATTAATTAGTTAACCTTTATACTGCTTAGATAATATTCCAGTAAACCATGTTCGGTATATACACTGTAAAAGCATTTTAAAATATGATAACTTGACAGGAACAAGCTTCTTTATTTGTCATATGAAAAACACAAAATGTAAAAAATATATTAAAATTAATAAATCTTAACAACTTCTGCAACTATCTGTAACATGTCTTGCTACATATAAATTTTCTCAAGAAAGGAGTCATAAAAACCTGTCAAAAGTGATCATTTAATATTTGTATCCATTTAGTATGATAGAAGATAAAGGGTTTATAATATTTGTTAATAATTTGCGACTAGAATTTAAGTTAATAAGTGAGAAAACAGTGCATAAAGATTGTAATGATATTGTAGAAAATTTTAAAATAAAGGCCTGTATATTAATCCAAGAAGCACCTAGGCATTTAAGCTATACGACTGATATGTGGATGTCAAACCAAAACCTTGGTTATATGGCTCTTACATGTCATTTTATTGATAAGGATTAGGAACTTCAAAAACTAATTTTATCGTTCAAAATGGTTCCTTTACCCTATACAGGAATTGCCATTAGTGAAACACTTTTTAGTTGTTTTTATGATTAAAATATTGCATCAAGAGTATTATCAATTACTGTAGATAATGCCACTAACAATGATGCTGCAATAAAAAATATAAGAGATATGCTTGATAAACAAAACATGCTCATTGCTGACAGAAGTTTATTACATCAATGTTGCTGCATCTACATATTGAATCTTATAGTTAGTGATGGTCTCAAGACAGTTAAAAGTATTATAAATAAAATTTGAAAATGTGCAAAATGGGTTCATAGTTCACAATTCTGGCAACAAAACTTTGAAGATGCTATAGTTGAAAGTATCGAACTTGCATCAAACCAGCATCCAACTCTAGATGTTTCTACCTGCTGAAATTCTGTATATTTGATACTGGTATTAACTATTCTATATAAAAATATATTTGGCTATCTTGCATTACAGAATATTAACTTTGAGCAAATTATGCTTTCTGACAAAGATTAGAGAAAGGCCAAGGTTATTTGTGATTTTTTAAATCTATTTTATGAAGATAATAATAAACTTTTAGCCAGGCCTACTGAATAATTAGTTTTGAGGCAATTAATTGCAATTTTTTAAACTTAATTAATTGTTTAGTAGTACAGCCACAATAAGTCAATTAATTGCAGTTGTTTAATAATTATATTACATCAAATATTGTATATGATGCTCTAATTCAGTGTTGGCTGTTTTGGATCATATCTAGCTTCATATGACCAAGGTGGTCATAATTTAATAGTAAAGTTTATAAGTCATAACAGGTCATAAGATTATAACCTATAATTGGCTAATAGGTCATAATGGGTCATAGGCCAGCATTAAGTGCTCTATGCAATATAATAAAAGAAAATTGAAATTATTTTGTCATTAATTAGGTTATAATGATTTTAATTGTATAATATATAAAAAAAATTAATTGTAATTGCTTTTCAGTAGGCCTGCTTCTAGTATGTTAAAAAAAACAAATCATAATAATTAGATATTTAATTTAATATAGTCACAAAAGTTATATTAAGAAGCACATACTCTACTGCGAATATTTTTTTTCCTCTTTTGATAAAAATTAAAATGCATCTTAAAAAAAATGCTACTAATAATGATCCTTTTATTTGCCAAATGGTTGTACTGATGGAATTTAAATTCGATAAATACTGGGCAGATATGGAAAATATACACTGCATTGCATCGATAATAGATCCTTAATATAAAATGTTTTTGTTAACTCACATATACAAGAAGAAAATGCAATTATCACATTCTGAAGCAGAGAAAAAACTAAATATGGTGCAAGACATCTAATCACATTACAAAATATTTGCTTTAAATAAAAGTTTAATAACTTTTTAACTAATAATGATTTTTAAAAAAATCTTTCTATAGTTA